GTTTTATTCTCTCTATCTGTCTCTCTCGATATCTTCCTCTTTTTCTCTCTCTCTCTCTCTCTCTCTCTCTCTCTCTCTCTCTCTCTCTCTCTCTCTCTCTCTCTCTCTATCTCTCTATCTCTCTCTTTCTTCACTCTCTTCCTCCCTCCCTCTCTGTCTCAGGATTAGATAATAGTACAAAAAATAGTGTCTGTAAAATGTGAAGTGTTAGGGGGGTGGTGTAGTCATTGATGTACAGCTTTAATGGTGCATTCTGAAATCTTTTATCCTTACTTTGTGGGAAAGCCGTCTCTGGTGGCACATGCTGTCACTATAAACCTATAAGGTGAGACCTGACTTCTTTTTTTTTAAAATTCCATATATGAAGAGGCACTATGCATGCACTAACTTGGTCACTTTGTGAATAGATATAGTTTATGGTGAAATCTTTTTAAAAAATTTTTCTGGTTCCTGTCTGTTTTTAAATGTGTTTGGTTTATGGTAATGGTTGTGTACAAAAGTTTTGTATCGTTTTTCAGATGCAGATGATGGACCTTCATTACCCACAAGGAACAATGAAGAGTTCAGGCCATTTATGCGCCGCTTACCGGAGTTTAAATTCTGGTATGTCTTTTTGGTTTTGTTGTATTCTTATTGGGGGGGGGGGGGGGTGTATCCTTTTATGCTTCTTTGTTTGAGGGGGTTAATGGGTTGGATAAAAGATTGTTCTCTGAATGTGCTGTATAAGCTACTGAAATATTCAACGTTCGAAGCAATGCTCAAGAGTAAGCATAGTTGTAAATAGATGAAACAGATGTGGATGGCAGAGTGTGACTTGTCAATCCTTTCTTCAATGGAAAGATGCTCTCCAAAATCCTATATTATCCTGGTGTTCCCTGGTCAGCCATCTGTTCAGGTTTTCCACGTGTTTCCCTGGGTCTGTCTCAGTCTCGTTTGCCTACTATTTTCCTGTGAGTGCAAGATGCTTAAACCGTTTACATCAGGTCAAGAGTCCTTGAAACCGCATTTTGTGGTTTTCCATTTGTTCTCATTGGTGAGGAATCTACCTCTACCTGGGTTTCTTTCCATACTTCCTTATTCAATTTGTTTTTCTGTCCTTGAAATTCATGTGAAGGGTGCTGACAAAATGAGTTACTTCTTGGATTCGAGACCTATGGAAATAGATACGTCACGCTTATAGCTGAAGTTTTTACAGTTTATAAATATGAAATAATAAAAGGCTTTTTATACTTAAAGAATACGGCATGAATAGAAAATCTACTAATTTGGCCCTAGTGTCAATTTTTGGCCAATATCTCCATTTGTGGATTGCGAGAAGTAACTCATTTTGTCAGCACGCCTCACAAATTGGTTTCCCTGGGGAACATTGTTTTAATTTGTTCAGAGCAGCGTAAGTCAACCTGTGCATCTTTCAGTACTTCCTTATTGAATTTCTTTTGTGTCCGTGAAATTTTCAAGGACTGAAATGGGGAGGGGAAAAGTGTCAACAGATGCATGATCAGATAAGGTGCTCTAGATCTGTCAAAGTCAGTTGTGTTGTGTTTTAGGTGCTCTGTCAATGGGCTTACTTCATATTAAGAATGTTTACCTGTGTAAACTATTTGAATGTTTTTGGGTTGTTTTTTTGGGTTTTTTTCTCTCCCTGATCTGGACAGTATGGAGATGAGACAAAGTTTTGCGATTGGTAGTTGTTTTGGTCTGTGTCCGTCATCTGCTTCTGTGCGAAGGAACGCCGATGTATTAAATTATTTGGGGGTGTTCAAGGGAAGTAACTGGACAAGTATTGCCGTAGTCTGCAAGTTTTTCTTTGTTACCTCTCTTTGAATTGAAGCGACGTGTCCTTTTTACATGTTTGAAGTGGAGGGAGGTGCGAGAGAGGGATGGGTGTTCTTGTGTGGCTTATTGTCTTATGTACGGTGTAGTGTCTTTTTTGTGTGTCTTTTATCCCCCTTCTTTTCTTTTGGGGACGGGGTTTTTTTTACTGTTGCTGGCCCAGTTTTGCTTCTCGGATTCCTTGCCATTTCTAGCGTTTGTATATAAGTCATTTTTAGCAGCATTTGTGGTTTCAGAATGTTTGGGGTGTGTCTGTAGCTTTTAGAAAATTATTATTACTTTGAGTATCTTCGTGTGTCTGCTAGAACTTAAGAACTTTGTATCCATCTCATCCAGGATTGGCCATGAGGGCCAAGGTGGAAGCAGCCGCTTCCAAAATGATCTTAATAGTGTTGAGGGGAGGGGTGTAAACAGCTTCCATTTACAGTTACAGTCAGTAAAAGTAGAGATGTCTCCTGTCCTCAGGTATTCATTCACCAAGGCAATTGTGGTGGCCATGGTCTGCACGTTTTTCGAGGCCCTCAACATCCCAGTGTTCTGGCCTATCCTGGTCATGTATTTTATCATCCTCTTCACCCTCACCATGAAGCGACAGATAAAGGTTAGTACAGGGTCTGCAAATGTTCTACATTCTAAGGCAGAGCAGCCTAACGAAACGTTTCATACATTTTTTGGGTGAAAACGCGAGAGAAAAAATCGTGATGCTTGTTATTGACATCTGTCACTTATGTAGCTCTGCCTCTTTGAAAGATGCTATTTTGGGTGTGGATGCATTGTCCTGTCTTTGGCACTTGAAAAATATGGTCTGCGTCTTGTGTAACAAACTAATGAAAGTGGGTGGTTGGCAGGTGCTCTGGTGTTGTTTGCTCCTTTTTTCCTATCAAACATTTATTGTCCTTATCGTCCCTCCTTTTTTGTTTGTTACTCTCTTGTAGCTCCTCTAATCTTGTGCAAATGTATGACCTTATTGTGCCGTAAAACAAAAGAAACAAACCAGTGAAACTATATATTAAAAAAACTTGACTTTCTCAGATAGGTTGCTCTGCCTTGGAATAAATTCTCTTTCCTTATTTTTATTTTAAAATTTTAATCATCGGATTGTGCTCTCCGCTGTGATTATGATGCGGATTGGTCTTTTTACGTATGTTTCTAAGATTATAAAGTGTGCTGTTATAATTACGCTTGTTTTCATCTCTCGTAATTTCGACCACCCTCTCCTCCTCCAAACCCCTCCCTCTCTCTCCCCCCCCCCTCTCTCTCAGTTGGAATTGGCCCTGAAAGGCAGGGTCAAAGGAGTCTGCTTTCTAAATGATTAAATTTGTGTTGATGGGTGTGTCATGTAGACCCACAGTTATGATCATTTCCGTCATATCTATTGAGGAATTTTTTTCTCTTTTTCCCCAGCATATGATCAAGTACAGATACCTTCCATTTTCTCACGGCAAGGCACGCTACAAGGGCAAGGAGGATACTGGAAAAGTGGTGTCCTCCTAATGTCAGCAGGAGGCTAGGCTCTATCTAGAGAGAGAGAGGGAGGGAGAAAGAGAAATTGAATGTGTGAGTGCGTGTGCCATGTGGCACACAAGTTAGGCTCATACCAAGTACGCTTGCGGCTGGAGACATATGTTGCTAATTTTCAGAAACAACCACAGTTATCAACAGTTAGGGTTGCCAGTGTTGTTGAAAGTGTGTAAGGCTGTTACAAAACCCTTAAGTCTATAAGTTTGAGGGGAAAAGGAAAAAAACAGAAAAAGACCAGACGGGATGGAAATGTGGTGTGAGAGAAAAAAAATGCTACGTGCAATGTCATGTGTATGTCATTTTTTTTTTTTTTTTCGTTTGTGTCATAATACTACAAGTCCTGATGGCGGTTCAGGTGGGTACAGAATGAGTGGGTGGCTGGCAGGTGCTCTGGTGTGGTTTACCCCGTTTCCTTTCAGACATCCTTAGTCCTTATCTCTCCTTATTTTCTGTAAGTGTTACTCTCTAGCATCGAGAAGTAGATCTGTCTCAGGAGGGGGTGGTGGTGGCAGTGGGTGGGTAGGCTGAGCATTTGGTAGAATTTCCATGGAATCCCAGAATTTTCTCTGACTGTTCGGACATTTCAGTGGGGTTGTTTGAGTTTAACTTTTATCAGCTGTTCACTGTTTTTTACTCATGGCTGGTTGCTTAGAGTGGAAGTTTAAAGTTCACAGTCAGTTCCTTTCACCATTCAAAATTTCACTAATCAAGACTACAAGTTTTCCTTTTTTTTTAAATTCTGCAATATTTATTATAATTGTTGAAACATGTTGCAAGTTTGATAATTCTGTGTCTGTTAGACCAGTCAGGTTTTTTTTATATGCATCATTGTAGCAGCGATTGCGAAGGGAATAGCAGAAGTAAAATGACTGTTGATCATTGAGATAAACAGCTTTAAATTGTACTGACTAATGACCAGGTTCTATGTAATGTTGACAGATTTTTGTTAGCCTGGTGATGGGGAAAAGAGAGGCTATTTTACCTTATGATTTTATCAGTGTTTACCTTGTTGCTGTGTTAGATCGGGTTGTGCTTTTGGGTATAGTCTTACACCCCCACCCACCGTACAAATACACACATAAACGCCCCTGTTCCTTACATACCTAGAGCCTTTTTAGTTTCTTGGTCTGTTTTCTATTCCTCATTCTCCCTTACTGGTGTCTGTGGTGGAACAGTTAGACACATGGCCTTAGCATGCAGAAGACGTCCATTCAGTTCCTGGGTGGTGAAATTTTTTTAGCGAGTATCTTTGCTGGTACATTGTGTCTCTCTTGGCCCTAGCGGGCAGAGTCAAAGCAGCCCGCCTCCTATATGATCTATCTTGTGTTAATGGAGGTGTAAAACTTAGACAATTACACTCTTTACTTTACTGACGCTAGGGCAAACTTTCTCGACGGCTCGTAAACTACGAAAAGAAATAAGCGAGAAGAAAGCTCTGTCAATCAGATGATTCTTTTTTTTTTTTATAAACAAAGCTGTTGAATTATGGGAAGAAATAAGTAAGATGGCTGGGGTGTCTCTGAAAGTTTTATATTTTATAGCGTTTGAATTGTTTGAAGAAATTGAGTGAGATGCTGTATAGCTCTCTGGAATCTGCCACGTTTACAGTACAGCGGTTACTTTCAGTTCTGGGAATCTGTGGCAGAGCACTACTGACAGCATTTAGTTCCGTCTTGAACCTCTCATTTGTGGCAGAGACAACGCTGCATAGTGTTGTGTCACGTGCACGCTGCTTGGCTGTAGCTGCTCCCCCATGCACCATCTGGATTTTTGCCAGGACTTTGCAGGCTGACTTGACTCCTGGGCTCCCTGTAGACGTATTATATACTGCTGTCAGACCCCGTAGAGATGATGTACAGCTCCTTTTTGGAGGGGGTGGGGGGAGCGTGCTCAGTGGATGAACGTTTTGTACAATATTTTTCTTATGGTCGAACCCTCTGGGGGTCTTATGAAAATGTTCCCCCTCTTTTTTTAAAGGTATAAATCATGTGTGTCGTAGAGTTGTGTATTTTCGAGTGTGAAATAATATGTCGCTTCTCCCGTCTTTTGGCTGAAAGGGTCATTTTAATCCAACACTGAAGCACCTTATTTTTTTAAGGGGGTGTATTAGTTGCTGAACTTTCTGTCTAAATGGTAGTTATGGGATATTTGAGTGGGTTGGCGTAGAAGCTGGAAATTTTTCTCTGCCCTTCATATACCGTAGCTGGAATTAGACCGGAACTTCTTTTTTTTTTTCGTTCTTTCACGTGTGAAAGTCACTGAAATTGTCTCGGTTCACTCTTGAACTTTGTCACTCATTTTGTATCTGTATCTATATATATAAATATATATCACAAATATATTATATGTCTATGTGTTTTATTTTTCATTGTATGCTTGAAAGAGGAGAGAACGAACGTTTCACATTTAAGATTAGGAAATGAGAAAGAGTGTGTGTGGAAAAATGTCAAGACTGCCATATGTGGAAGAGGGCTCTTTACGTGTACAGTGCAGTGTACCTAAACAGATATTTATGCTTGACTTGTTGAATTCTTGTTACTATAATAATTGTATCATTTTCCCTTTGTTTTTGTTTTTTGGTGGGTTTTTTTTAATTTTGTGTTTGTTTGCGCTGTAAGGTACGACTGTGCTGCTGTAAGTGCTCTAAAAACATGGTGGTTATTTCCTGCTGTCCTGTGATGGTATCGATTGTTTAGTGTAAGACTCCGCCATGCGCCATTTTGAAACGTGACTTATGATGGAGTCTTACACTGAGCAGTTGATACGGTTTTGATTTTTTTGTTTTTTAAGAAGGGGAAAAATTTATGATTTATTATTATAAGTATAAGGGGAGAGATACTAAATGTTTTTGTGTTTGCTAGTCTCATCAACAGTTGTATATTTCTGACTTCAAAGCAGCGTTTCTGTAACTTTTTACCTCCACCCCCCTGTGGATTTCAGAGGTCTCCTCGAACACATTGGGACTTAAGAACATCAGAGTATTTAAATTTCCACAAAAAGAACTGGTTTTTGAGTTTCAAAAACATGCCCTAGCCCTGCCCCCCTTGGATGAACTTGCACATGTTGTTTATTTGTGCTCCAGTTTGAGTCTTCAAAGAATCAATAGCATCCAGTACACACACATTTGTAGGAAGGAGAGGGGGGGGGGGGGGGGTAGTTGTTTGGGACTATACGACAGACTGTTTGGACAAGGATGATGATTCTGTAACAACACTGTTTTGAGCCTGATCTGCTCCTCTTTGTACCTCTATTCAGTTTTTAAAAACTAGCATCCCCATGTGTTTGAAACGTTATCTGAATCCTTCGATCACAAGATCTATATTTTTTCCCCCTTGTAGTGTTAATTCCTGCGTCCCTTGTGGTTTATCGACAATTAAAATATATATCTATGTGTATGTATTTTTTTTTATGCCCTTTCCTTTTCTTTTTTTCCCCCATCAGCAAAATTGCATAGATCTAATTTTGCTAAAGGTACAACTGTTTTCGTGATTTTAAAACTTTGGGGTTTTTTAAATTTGGAAGTAGAAACTGCTTTAAATTTAAAGGAAATATTCCGGTATCGTAGTGCCCTGTATATGACGTTTGATTGCTTTCTGCTTACAGCAACTTTTTGTCGGTCCAGCATCTGTTTTGTAGTGGCTAGGGTTCTTGGTTTTACAAGATAAAGTAGAAGGTACTTGTTCAATTCCCATGTGAGGGGCTACTTTATCAAGTCTTATGTTGTCTTCTTTCTAATTAGAAGTGTCACACATAACCTCTTTGTTGGTTCTAACGGTCTTGGCTTACGCAGCCTGCTTCCCAAGAGATTTTTAATCAATTTGGGTTTTTTTTGTAGTTTTTTATTTTAAATTTCCCGCTATGCTGGGGTCCTGTTTTGGTACAAAACCTAAAAGTGGCATGATATAACTCACTAAATTGGTCATTAAAGCAAAATAAAAATGAACCTGTCTAGATAGTTCTTCGTGACTAATGAAAGGAATTCCAGTTAGCGAGACCTGTTTTCAGCAGTTTACTACAGTTCAGGCTGCGAGACGTTAGGAGCGGTTTGCTGGAGATAAGGAGTTAAAGTGCATGTGTGGCGCATCAGTCAAGTTTCAGAGTTTCAACAAATACTGTGACAAAGTCCGGGTGTTGCTGCCGCCTGCAGAGGGAAAGTATAGACTGATCGGGTCTCTGCTGTGTCTTCAGTTTTTGTTTTTAGTGGGATGAAGGATTCACCTGAAAAGTAATGGACTTATTCTTCGTGTTGTATCTTAGATGGAGCAGTTTTAGAGTGGCAGTGATGCAACGGGAGGGGTAATTTATTATAATCATCATCATAATTAGTAAAAAATTGGAATCATTTGTATTTTTGTTTTGTTTCGTCTCAATCTATGATTGTTCTTGGATTAGGGTTTTTATTCAATATTAATCCTGTCGTGTCGATTTGTTTTTATTTGATAACAATTTTTTGTTTTCAATAAGTGCTTTGTGTACGGTTGAATAAGACATACCGATTGAGTTATTGGGTACTAGTAGTGTGGTTTTGTTTTATCTTCCTGTCTGATGTGGTTGGCTGTGCAAGTGAATCAGAAGTCAATAAAGTATTCAATATCATCAATGATGAGTTGTTGGCTTGGTTTTATTTATGTTTAGGTGGTTGATGGGTGCTGTGGTGTGGTTTGCTCTTTCTTTCCTGTCAAATATCTCTGTTGTCCTTATCTCTCTTCCTTTTTTTTGGTTGTATTTTTTACTTTCTTGTAATGCCGCTAATCTTCAGCACGTTAATGACCTAATTATGTTGCAAGAGCCATAAAACTCTTACTAGAACTAAACTAGAAAAATAAGGACACTGCTGGTAGGTCCTTGTTTTCTGTGTTGTTTCTGTCAAGCTTTTTCCTTGCACTGTTATGACCGGGACTGTGTCGGCCAACCCGAGCTGAGCAGGCCAGAAAGACAGAGAACCTCGACACGAGGAAACCTCTTCACTCGTACGGGATCTGAACTCAAGTCTCCTGTACGCAACTTTTCTCAGTAAAATCCACTTAGAAGTAAGTGTATTTTTAAATTAAAGTAAAGGGTGTTGAGCTTTGATAAAATATTGTTTTAAATCTATAAAAATTGCCAAAACGGACGGGAACATGCTGCTTTCTTCGATTTCATTGTGTTGATCGCCTGATATCTCCGCGATGCCTCACAAATCGTTTTAATTCTTATTGTGTACTGATCGCCTGTAAAAAGGTACATTTTCCT